TAATGAAATTATTTCCAGCAGTAAAGAGAACTGATAATTCATGGCTTGAACTGTTTAGAAATATGCAGTATATCTGCATTGGTTACTCCTAATCAACCACTTATAAGAAGCAAGGAACCTTGGGGCGCCTGGGTGGCTCAGTAGGTTGGGCGTCCGACTTCAGCTCAGGTCACGATCTTGCGGTGTGTGAGTTTGAGCCCCGCGTCCGGCTCTGGGCTGATGGCTCAGAGCCTGGAGCCTGCTTCCGATTCTGTGTCTCCCTCTCTCTCTGCCCCTCCCCCGTTCATGCTCTGTCTCTCTCTGTCTCAAAAATAAATAAAGGTTAAAAAAAAATTAAAAAAAAAAAAAAGAAGCAAGGAACCAAGTAACTCCATATACGATACTTCTGAACATTTTGGAAAACTAAAAAATATAGTGATATTGATTGGTTGTTCCCAATGCCTCTGGACAAAGTGTTGAAATAAAAGAATGAGCTCAGTTATTTGAATTCCCAGTTTAAGCCACAGCAATGGCCTAAGAGCTTCCTTGTGTGCTCTGAGGGAGACCCTTATCTTTTGTAACCACAGGGCTGAAATAGCTGAAAACAGAATGCATGATCTGTCTTGTTGTCGTTTTTTTTAAGTTTATTTTGAGAGAGAGCATGGGCACGCACAGGCAAGTGAGCGCAAGTTAGGAAGGGGGAGTGAGAGAGAGGAAGAGAGAATCCAAAGCAGGCTCTGTGTTATCAGTGTGGAGTCCAACTGGGAGCTCCATCTCATGACCCATGAGATCATAACTTAAATGGAAACCAAGAGTCAGAGGCTTAACCAACTGAGCCACCTAGGTGCCACATGATCTCATTTGTGACTGGCTGAATTACAATGTAACTTGAGCTTCTACCTCAGAGTGTCTACTGTTAAAGTGAGGGCATTGATTGAGAAAAAAAAAAATAGGATTTTTAAGTTGTGTTGGAGATATGTGGGAAGACCAATATGAAGCTGGGGACCATGAATCCTAAATTATGATAGGTAGTCTTTGCATGTGGAAGAGGTCTCCCCATCCCCAGTGCAGGGGGCATCCCCGCCCATAGTGGTACAAACCTTTCCATCTCTTTGTGAGGGCATTAATTCTGCATTGCCTGAGGAAACAGTAATACCCTCTCCTGAGGCAGTTGCTATGCAAAACAATTCTGATTCTCTTCAAAATGTACCCACACCATCACTGTATGCTTCTAAACGTATAACTAGTATTTTTTTTTTTTTTTAAAGGTCCAAATGCAGTCGTTTTAGGACAGCAAACCTAGACTTAATTATAGGAATGTGACCTTTAACCAGTCTGGAATTTCCTGATCTTAGTAGTAAGATAATCTACATGATAGACAACCTTCCTCCTTCCTCCAAAGGAAGGTGACCTGGCCTGAAATAATCTTGTCTTTTCTTTTTCTAATGACATTTTGTTCTTCCCCATTTCTGCCTATAAAAAGTCTTCCGTTTCATACAACTACATGGAGGTCCTCTCCACTTTCTAGGTGGGATGCTGCCCAATTCATGAATTATTGCATAAAGCCAAGTAGATTTTCAAATTCACTCATATGAATTTTGTTTTTTAACACTAGGCTCAAGTCCCAACATTTTCCTAAAGGTGAGGCACAGTGTGACTCATAAAGAGATGAGCTACTCTAAAATAATTACTTGAGTTTTCCAACTTATATAAGCAGAAATCTGGAGAACATGTGTGGGAATGAATGTAAGCCTAGGGGCCATGTCTGTATTGTTTACTGTTTAATTGCCAGTACGTAGCATTGTCTCCAGAACAGAAAAGATACCCAATAAGTATTCTAAAGTAATTGAGTGGTTGCTAAAAAATTCTTGTTGACATTTTTCATATAGATAAGTAGAAAGATAAGTAGGTAGATAGATAGATAGATAGATAGATAGATAGATAGATAATATAAAAAAAGGAAGAAACAGTGGGGCTTTCTTATCTGCTTGTTTAGATGTGGGGAATAAAGGACAAAGAAAGCTGTAGGTCTTGAGAGCTGTCAGCAATCCAACGTAAAAAATGGCGTTAGGCTGTTTATTACATGTGTTTATTTTTATGATAATTATTTTAGTATTCATTGCTCTCACTTAACCTACAGTACTACAAGGGCAAATACCACTACTCTGCTTCCAAGCACCAATTGTAGTATATAGCATAGATTAGGTTCTCAATAATGTTTAATAAATGAATAAAACAACTAATAGTAGTATGTACATCTAACAGCAAAATGGCTCTATAGCAATTTTATAGGAGTTACTTCACGAGTGATTAATAAGATAATTACATGCCAAATGAAGCTTTTATTATTAAAAAAGAATCTGTTGTGAATGCATGAAAAATGTAACTACAGGCCAAGAAGTACAAGCACACACAGACACACAGACACACACACACACACACACACACGCACATAAATATTGATTGATTGTTGATTGGTTGAATGAATGATTCATTTAAAAGAGGTTTTCTTGGAGTGGAAGCCCAGAGAAGTAAGATGTACTGATGTGGAAATGGAGAGACTTGAGGTCTGATTTCATTTGTCACTAATTACTTGGCAGAAGTGAACAAGTCACTTAATTTCTTGGTTACTGTTTATTTACTTATGACAAAAATGGGCTGGGATTAATGATTTCTAAAATGTGTTGAAATTCTCAATTCCTATGAATTTTTCTGACTCTTCAGTTTTGACCCTCACTTACATTGTAAGAAGTAGAACGACCTTGAATGGTTTAGGGTCAGTAAAAAATGTTTTTACTGCCTTGAGGTGTAAGTGGTTCTTATTACTGATCCATGTTGGAGCTGCCTTGTATGGCAGAGAGGCTGTGGTGGTTTATGAATTGATCTTGTCTGGGCAGATTTACTACTGTGTATTTTATTGATTTTTCCATTCAGTAAACTTGCTAAACCAGGTAATTGCCCAAACTCAGAATTGGATAAACTAAAAAACTCCCAGGTTGAAAACAGTTCCTAAAAGGAATATGGAGTTAGAATGAATAAACCAAAACTTCATGGAAAAGAGACAAAAAGCAAGATCTCACTTCAAAATTCTTGTCACACTTAAAAAAAGCTTTAATTGAAAAAAAATGCATATATATGTGTACACACACATATACATACATATACACACAAGTTATAAAGTATAGCTCAATGTGACTTCACAGAATATTATCAGGACCCTAGAAATTTCTGTTGTGTCTCTTTATAATCACTTTCTTTTAAAGTAAAAATAATGTCCTTGTCATTGTATCCATATTGAAGATCAATTTACCACCAATAACATATTTTTAAATTATTAATTTCTCTAAAAATAGTGGCATAGTTAGTGGTGAGAGTTTTTGGGGGGGTGACAGTGGGGTTCATGGGCTCTGGAGCAGACAACCAAGAAAGAATTCTTTGAGACGTCTTGGGTGCAAAAAGGTGATTTTATCGAAGTATGGGGACAGGACCCGTGGGCAGGAAGAGCTGCTATCTCTGAGAGTATAGCTACCACTGTACTACTGATGTGAATGGGGAAACTGGTAGTGAATTTAGCACAATCCACACTGTATGATTGTGTGGATGAGAAACATAAGACACAAAGTCATTAAGGTGAATATGGGAAGTAGATTTGATATGCCCTGATTCGAGAGACACCCCCCCCC